CTTCCTTCCTTCCTTCCTTCCTTCCTTCCTTCCTTCCTTCCTTCCTTTTGCTTTCTTTCTTGTATTCTATTGAAATTTCATTAGCCTATCATTCAGTTCAGCACACTATCATTCTCTTCCAAAGGGCATCTGAAATTGCAGTGGTCTAATAACATAAATCTTTCCCATTCAGCTCCTAATATATCAAACTACATGTTTCGGGAGGTAAGTGTGGTGTTACATTCGGCTAACTTCAGCACGTGGGTGGGTTGAGACAGGATCAGGAGTTCAAGGCCAGCGTTGGCCACATGAAGCCATGTCTTGAAATATTCACAAAACAAAAGGGGGACTAGATAAGAGCATTTTCATCTTACCTGGCATTGACTTAAGTGGAGTATTTTAATTTGGGTCATTTTTCTATAGGAAAAGAAATGGAACACATGTAATTTTTTTATATAGAATAAACTTTATTTTTAATTAAAGACACAGATCAAAAATAAAAGTTTTTATGTACATGTGACAGATAGTACAAACGAAAGGCTTTTAAATATCATGGGTAGACATGTTGTTGGAAACAAAAGGAGATGAATGACTGAATGACGGGGTTAGGATGGTCGGCCTGGAACTGCAGGAGGGGGTCTCCTAGTGAAAACAAAACAAAACAAAATAACAAAAAAGGAAAAACACAGATGTAGAGGAAGAAGACAATGTTTAAATTATAAAATAAATTTGAATAATAGTATACAAAAATATCCCAGAAAAATCTAATTCAAATCATAAAAAAATAGCCAAAACAAACAAACCAACCAAAAACCCAGAAGAAAGCAAAAGGCCAGGCAAAACATGCAGGAGAAATGAAAGCACACCTCACAGCAAAGTTAGCAGTGACCAGGCTCAGGGTACGTACCCAGCAGCATGCTGAGACATTTGTGCACATTCAAAAATGTTACCATGTTGTACCATGGAAGTATAAATCCTTGCAATCAAATTTAGGTCAGTTAGGATCAGTATTAGAGATACCTTTTGGACTTGCGTATTTGATTTCTAACCCTAATTTTATGTTCTCCACCCCCAAGTTATTTCCAAAGACTTGAATGAATGATGGGTATGTTTGCTTCCTGGGGGGTGGGGGGGGTGGGGGAGGAGAGCAACTGCTTTAGAATTCTGTTGAAGGAAATTTCAGTTTTAGTCACTATGTTATCACGTGACTAATCAAATACTTTTCAAAGTAAGGGAATTGGAAGGTATCAAGATCTGATGAGCAATGCCATCCCAACACAGAAAGAGCCTCAGGGTTAATGTGCAGCTGTATTTTTGTAACTAAGAATCTATTTGAGGTGAACAGTTGTGTGGTATGGCAGCCTAGAATAGAGAAGAGGAAAAAGAAAAAAAGGCACGCCAAGGCTGCTTCTTGATTGCCCCAGGGTTGGTAGGAATTCCCTCTGTATTAGAGCAAGGAACACTGAAAATCCTGACTTATTGGGAAACGGGTCCAGGGCACCCTGACTTGGTTTTCTGGGTCAGTGTCCAGATCCCTGTCATCAGGCCATGGATTGTGGAGTCAGGCCACTGCTTGGTCTCAGCCCCTGGAATCCGAGCTACTTTCCATCTCCAGAAGACTCTGCAACCTCCACTCTGCTGGGAGCAGCTTTGCAGCAGACAGACAGCAGGCCGAAGAAAGCCTGCCCGGGGATTCCGGCAGAAGTCCGTGCTTTAACTCTCTGCTTTCTAACCGGGTCACTGTGAGCTGACTCTGGGCACTGAGAGGCCATCTCCAGCCCTCCTCCCTGTGGGATATCCCTGGCAGCCCCCGCCCAGATGTCCAGCAACAACTTGCTCCTACTGCAGTCTTGTTAAGACTACAGTCAGCTTTATAAAAAAGCAAAACCCCAAACACTTTTTTCCCCCTTCTTTTTAAAGTCTTCTGTGAGATGTTAATGGGACCAAACTGAGCTGGCTTTTCCTGCTTTTTTTTTTTTTAAAAAAAAAAAGACCTTGCTTTTCCCAAAGTCCTAGACCAACTTTTCTCCAGTTCAATTTAATCTGGCCATGCTAAGGAGGCCTCCCATCTATTTAAATGATGAAAAACTTGTTCTTAGTCCCTAACCTTTCAACTGTGGGGGGTCTGCAAGCCTTGGGCTTTGTGAGACCCAGGTAATGGTATCCCTGGTGTTTTCATGAAGAAAGTGTAATTACATTTCTGTCAGGCTGAATGAGATTTATCACCTGCCTAGCAAACAGAAACTATTTTCAAGTTCTGAAGGGGCTTTAGAACACTTTAATTACCTCAGCATGGTGGGGAGGTGAGCCATTAAAATGAACAGCAAGTCCACAGTGCTGAAGGGGCGTTCTACGCTCACATGCCAGAAACATTTTCCCCTGGGAACTAGTTTGGTGTTCCAATTCAGAAACAGGATCAGACACATTATGCCCTAAAATATATTCTCCTGACAGCAAGGGAGTTTGCCTCAGGCAGTGTGGTGACGTTCCCTCAGACAGCTCCTTTCTTCTCATCTTTGCTTACCCTGCATCTAACGTTCCTGTCGCTGCCAGAAAAGCAGCCCTGACAATAACAGCATTCGGTGGATCTGTTAGTTCCACCATGACTCTTGATAGTTTGGGTTTTTTGCTGATCCCCCTCTCAGAATTCTGTATTGTGTCTATAGTGTGGCTGAAGGCAAGTGCTGAACATAGATGGTCCTCCCACATGTAGAAACTACGAAGGTACTGGAGTACCTACCGAGTTAACAAATTCCACCGCTCAGCAAACTGGTCTTCACCTACACTGAATGTACTCAAGAATCATACAACCTGGTTACATTTTCTCAAATGTCCAGAAAAAAAATAAAATAACCCCACAGATATGTTTTTCCAAGTACTAAGAAGAAGAGATGAAACATTAAGACTCAGTTATTAATAAGAATGGATTGCATATGTCCTCTAATCTCTATCCATTCCTGCAATTGAGTCTGATGGTGACCTTGCCATGGACTGAACTCTTGAAAGGTTTTCCTTGTATGTTTTCCCTTTTCCGTGAAATTTCACCAAACAATCTCTGCTGGCTTGCTTTGCCCATCATTTAGGCAACTTAACATCCCACGGTAGAGGAGTAAGCCTGAAGAATGAGAAAATGAGGGGGGAAAAAGATAACAGGAACGGGGGTATCCTCCATTCTTCTCTGGTGAGGTTTAATTTTGAATTGATGTTGGTCTTTTCATTCACAATAACCTCACAAGCGTAATGAAATTATCCAATACAGCTTTTTTTTTTTTTTTTTTTTCTTACTAGAAAAAGGAGGAAAGATAAGGTAGGACACAATGAGTCCCAGAGAAGGTTTGGTAAGGCTCCCTGCCTGTGCATGGCTGGTCTGCTTCTGTGCATCTGATCTTAGAAGATCTTCTTCCAGAGGACTCAGATGCCATTGTCACAGAGCCACCAGTTCTTCCTGATGTCTGTCCTGAGCTGGGAGTTCGTCTTGCTCTTACACTTGAACTTGTCACACAACTTTTCGTTGGTGGCAATTTACTCTGAAATAGCCATCATGCACAATTCACTTTCCCTTTTGCCTAATGCCCCCAAGGTAATGTTTCCTAAAGTAGGTGCCTTAGAACCCCCACTTCTGTGGGGAATTGCATGAACGAAACCTTTATGATCAAAAAAAGTCTGAGAAGATTGTGGACACTGTCACTCTCAAAGATTCACAACATAATTAGAGTTCTTTCAGTAAAAGATGTTTAAATTATAGCTATTATTTTCCAAAGCATACTGACAAAATGACTTTTGGTGTCTGTGTATGTAAGCCCATTACCATCTCAGGCAATGCCCTTTGGAAGGCTTTGAATTAAGGCAGTCAATATCGCTTGCATATCTTCTAATTATTATGTCACTACAGTATGAAAGAGCACTAATAAATAACCCAAAATGTGACAGTGTGGCTGGAGTCCGGCTGAGTCTATGCGACCAGATGCCAGATGAGTTTCTCAAAGTGTAGTTAAAAGGTTCCAGCCTAAAAGTTGGGACCTTGATGACAAATCAAGTGGAGATTTATAATGATGGCTGAACTGTTTTAAAAGTACAAATGGGAAGTTGCTGAAAAGTAACAATACTGTCCTTTTTTTTTAATTTTCATTCAAAATTATTCAGAATAGTATAGAATAGAATCATGTGGTTAAAACAAAATACAAGTGACTGGCATGCTTTTCAACCACGATCTCTGCTAGGCTTCCTTTGGATGCATGAGTTCTTCCCTTGTGGGAGATGGATAGAGAAGGGACCTGCAGCTAGAAAGAGCATATGAGCTCACCAATCTGCCCAGCTTCCCTTCCCATACCTGGTCATATATGGAAAATTAAACCACTATCTCTCCCTTCTTCTTCACCTTGTTGTATGCATTTAGATGGCATAGTTTAGGACCACGTGTGTTGTTAGGGGGAGACACAATTAGGGAGAAGGTTGTCTGTGTCTACTGAGCTCTTATGTTTTCCTATTATAGGACAAACAGCCGCATTTTCTCCTCCTCTGCCCAATGAGCAGGTAACACCTATGGGCCAGGTGCACAGGGTTTGTCTTCCATTGACCTTACATGTAAACAGGCTAGCCTTCCTCCTACTTCCCCAGGTTTCCCCACAAACAGTTCCTTCCCAGAAATGAACTCACATTCCTGGAAAAGAATCCAGCTGTCTGAAGTTCGAATCCTACAATCTATTGTTTCAAATTAGAGGAAACATCACCCCTACTCCCCTTTCTTTGATTTACCTAATTTGCTCCGTCTAAAAATAAAAAATCTTTTCCCACAACTTAAGGACAAAAATGCAAAATACTACCACTCCCTGCTTTAGTAATGCTGGGCTAATTTGAGCAAAGGGGCAATAGAAATTTATTCCCAGGTGTTACTGACATGCATAGGCTGAAATGTATATAAGAATGAGGAAATGGGGTTCCTTCAAATGTAATAATTTATTTCATATTCAGAAATACAGTTTCACATTTTCACAATAGGTACATGGCCTTCAAGGATGATACAGGCTTTAGGAATTTGCTTCAAAAATCTCATTCACAGAATCCATATTAATCCAGCATTAAGAAATCTCAGAAGTGGCAAAAAAGACAGTGGAAAGTATTCTGGCTCATGTTAAAGATCAACAGAGAAAACAAGATTTAACTTCTATGTACTCTCCATTCATACAAAAACAAAATGAAATTTGATTCAGAACAGGGAGAGAAGAGGAACATGAAACAAAAGCAGTACATCTGAAATCAAACACACAAGGTTACAGTCATAAGGTTTCTGGTTTGTGAGAAATGATTTTCACAGAATGGCAGCAGTCAGTATAAGACAAGAGAGTGATTTTTGTATCATTTGGAAACATGAGTAAATTTAAAGGAATTTACAGGTAAAGATTATATAGAAATCAACGCCTTGAGCTGAACCACATGTGAAGCCCTTGACCAGTGGAATGAGAAGTCTCTCCAGTATACCGGTGCTAACAGGTCTTAAACAGGAGGTTCTCTGAGGTTCCTGTCTCTTACTCTCACACATACAGATATTATTACATGTATGCGTATATCCACAAGTAGCAATGTATATACTATATGTACTTCAAAAATATTGTTAAAGTTTCACATACAGAGCACCACATAATTTTAAACTTATCAGCTAGACAGACAGCCTATTATTACTTAGAAGACAAATTGAGTTCTTTAGAAAAGACTATATGATCTGGTGAACTATCCATTATTTCTCTAAAATTGGCTTCATTCACAGGAGCTCAGAGTTCACAGCTAGCAGTCCTAGGTGAAATGACCTAAAACTCATGGCTTGGCTTTTATCCGCAGTCATCTTTCACAGAATCAAGACAGCCTGGAGATCTGTTTAGGCTTTAGTACTCATTCTACAGAGATTCCCATCAATTTAAAGTAATTAATACAGTTTGCCAAAAGCAAAAGGTTTACCTGAAAGCGTAGATAACATACCTGCAAGGAATTAAGCAACCTGTCCCCTGCATGCTTTAACAGTTTTGCTCAGAAAGACTCATTACTATCATTATGCTGCTGACTCTCTGTATTCTTTTGACCTTTACTGTAGAGAACAAATGATGATACGGATCAACTTAGCTTTTTTAAGAGTCAGCTCAGCAACCCCAAATAACACAATTTTAACTAGAGACCTTGGAGAAAAATTCTGGTACTGTTACATTGTTTATCAAAGTATCACCAAAGGGTAATGCCTTCCTAGGTAGCGGTGCTGTGGGTTTCAGTACCAATGGCCACAGACATTACTCTACCTCGTCACGGTTATTATAAGCTTTGTGCCCCTCAGATTATATACAGTCTGAGTTAGAAAATCTTTTGTTTCTCATGTATGCTATGAGAAATGAACTACTGTAATCACATTATGGCAGGTCTTCCCAACATATATCATACACTGTGACAGTTAAAAAATATACTTATCTTACATACTGAGCACAGGTTTACACTGATATTTATACTCATACATATATACAATGCACATATAATTACATTCATGCTTAATGGCATTCTAGAAAGTGCTTTTGCACCTACTTATTCAAAAGGACACAAAATACATATTTACTATGTATATATATTCCTAGAGACATGCAGAGAAAATGAGTGCACAGAAAACATCAACACTTGTCACATACTGGTATCAGGTCCCATTTCATATTTTAGAGTATGGCTACGGTCTTAAAAAAAATCACAAATGACTCTATGTGGCTACTTCCTAATTCTAAATTTAGAATACTTATAACACAGGATCTGTTTTGCTATGCTTTTGGATAGAACGAATACATATCTGCACAAATAGAGAAACTGCCAACAAATAGTCCCCACTACTCTACTATGTTATAAGACACATCTAAAAGCAATATTCAAGAAGGTATCTTTAGTAGATGATTGTGGAGATGCATCTGCTCTAGATCAATAGTGTTTCACATTCCATCGAAACTGAGTAAATGGTTCCAGTTAGCCAGTATGCATGCAAAATTTAGCATGGGACGGTAAAACTGGCTTTACTTGTCAGACATGTACAGTTATTTCTTCAAATCCTAAAAGCACTGTTTTTTTTTCAATTATTATGCTAGACAAAATAGAGCTACGTCTATTGTGCTGACGACACTGGAACATCGATCGGGAGGTTTATTAACGTATTAGAAACGGTGTGGGAAACAGAAGGCCCTTCAAGCTGACATGCCCATTTCAAGGCCTGATGTGGGTGCCATCCCATAAATTCTGCACACTCCAGAACTAGAGGCTTCACTCAGGTTGGTGTCTTCTGTTAGCAGGATGCAAACCCTTTGAACTGCAGCAAACTGAAAATATTCTGGAATGCCATTGTTGAGATTCTGGTGTGGGGCTAGGGCAGGGGGTTCTGGGTGCCACCAGATATATAACATGGTAGCAAAGAGGACAAAACTTTCCAGACAAAGGGGAGACATTTGGGACAGGGCATCTGTGGATCAAGAAGCAAAACCCAAAGATGACAAACGCCATTGTTTATCACTGTCTAAGATCAGTGGGAAGAAACTTGGAGAGACAAATCCCCAATTTTCCTTGACATTGGTTTATGCTGATCTGAGACCATGCCAGTGGTTTTCTGCAATATTTTCCTCTAACAGAAGAAAATTTTTGAAATACAGCAAGACGCAAAACCACAGTAAGAACAAAGCCAAACCCTGAAGTATCTAATTCGTTAGCTGCCTGTTTTAGGGAACTCAAAGGAGGAAGCAAAGGGAATCCTAAAAGGAGGGAGTTTTGGGAGAAGACCTAACTGCCTGTTAGTTGTTCGAGTATGAAGGCTTGCTTAACATTTCCCCATTTATTTGGGACACTGTTTTCAAAGACAATCTGCATCTTGTATGTGAGTTCCATTCACATTTTTTCCCCCATGGAAAAACATGAGAGACGCTAGAGTGGTGATATTCTGTCACTTAAAGGTTGTAGTTACCCTTTTATGTGCCTCATATTCTTTAACTTTTGTCAATTATAATCAGGATATAACCCATTAGAAGAAGTTCAATACAGTGCTATTTACCTTGAAATTTTCCTTTTTTTTTTTAAAATAATGCTTAAAAGTTTTTATGTCAGACTTTATAGTGTCTTGCTTTGGTTAGAAACTGCACAGGAAATTAAAGTGAAGTTCACATACAAATCATGTTTGCTGCCTTCAAAGGGAGAGACACTGCAGTCAGTAAAACCTGATTTACTTCTGCGAATATGGAATAATGTCACGGGGAGCCACAGTTCAGTGAACGCTCGCTCTGCTGTCTGGGAGCAGTTACCAGACAGAAATCCATTTGGCTTCTGGCTGTTTCCTACATGCTGATCATCTGGTCGTAGGTAGTTTGAAACTTAGCGTAAAGGCTGAACTAAACCTCTAGGCTAGGCTGCTCTTGCAAATTCTGGAAATCTTAGAAATTGCAAATTTGTTTTGCAGCTCAATATTGCAAAGGCATTTTCAGGAGCAAGTTGGAGCAAGGGATCTGTAAACATGTGATCTGTGCTCCGAAACCATGGCGTCGCTGATGAATTTCCTTTCCATACTAGGGACCACTCTTTCAGCGCAGTTGTGCAATATAAAGCTGCAAAATGGAAGTGTGTCTGGAATGGGTAAAGACATTAGTTTTAAAGGGATTCTGCATAATCATTTATATGTAAACCGTAGAAATCGTGTCCTAGCATACACTTAATTTTGCTCCAGCCAAAATAATAATTACACTAACTATAAAGGGAGTTAGTTATCCATGTCCCCCCCCCCAAAAAAAAATCAACTGGAGAATTAAACAATTTCAATATCAGCCTTCCTTCACCATAGCCTAAAAGAGGTAAATATATGAGATAATAAGTAAATTATATTGTCACAGACACTTTTTAAATGGTGATATTTTTTGCTTCTTCCTTGAACTCTGAAGGTAGCCAAATCTATCAACCGATTACCAAAACCATCTTGGGCTTTGCTTCACCGCGGTCTGTACTTCTAGCATGAAGCACACACTGGTGCCAGGAGACGCCCCTAGAGCCAACCCTGTAGAGCTTGCAAAACCCTGTAGACCTTCCTTTGCAAACTGACTTGTGCTCCTGAAAAGCTTCCATCTTAAGTAGTCCTAATTTAAAAATCATGCTTCCTAGCAGAACTACGAAGTAAGAAGGAAAAGAAGTTTAAATAAGCAGTTATGGAGTGGGTGGCAGTATTAATATCACGCAACAGAATTTCTGCCATCCTAAACAGAATGTGGGGAAGAATTTGTGTGACTCCAAGTTCACTTTCTTATATCTGTTAAGAACTGTTTTAAGCTTCTCTGGAGACAGCCTAGAAAACTCTTATTAAGCAATTTCAAATACATGTTGGATGGATAAATGGTACCAGAGTAGAGGACCACTACACAAAACTACCTTGGCCAATACAACATATCAACTCTCTCTACAGGTTAGCAGTTTTTCCGAGTCACACCCCAAAGGTCTGACATACCATGAGCAATGAAGATGAGTGATGAATACATTAGTAAAACTGGCTACTTGCCTATGGATGTCCATACATGCGAGTACTCATGGTTGACTGCAAAGGTTACCGAATATGTTGCTTTTGCATAAATCATTAGTGACTAATTGCCATGCCAGACACTTCGTTTAGTCTAACAGTGAGGATTCTAGTGGACGGATTATAGTGGGACGAGTTGGTGATGGGGGTGGCCTCCGGCTAGAAAAAGAGAAAGAGACAGGGAAAGAAACAGATGTCATAGCAGAATTGTTCTTCAGAACACTGACGACGAAGAGCCATCAAGCACATGCACATGCAATTCAGGTCACCAAGAGAGGTCGCAACCTACAGTAAGCCTAGGAGTGTCATCTGTGAGTCATCCAGTCATCTGAGAGTCATCTGTGAGGTATCCTAAGTTTCAATGGAAATTGTATATTTTTCATTATGCAAATCTTTATTAAAAAGAAAGGATTGCTAATACAATACTGATACAAATATGGAATAACTTGAAAGCCGCTGTAGAACACACTGCACAGATTCGTGACAGTTGAGCACAATGGTTACAGAGAATGAGGTATGCCTACTCCAGGAACTAATGAGGTGTATTAAGTCTCAACAGTGGTTTTAAATCCTGCTTTGTCTCAGCAGGGTGCTATCAACCAACATTGCCTTTAGCAATGGCTTTCCCCAATTATTCTGCATTTTGCTTCTAACGCAGACCATCGAAAATCAAAAATCAAGGCTTGTAGAGTTATCTGCAGTGGTTATAACAAACAGGCTTGGTGTGAGCGCCCCCATAAGGTGCGTGAGCATAGTCGCACAAGATTCACCGAGGTCTGTAGTAGGATCAGCCACTATCTAGTTGGCCATGGTGTTTCTGAAAGCCATCACGTGATTAAATGTTATTGTACTTGAGAAGCACAACATTATCAAGTCATACCATTAATTCCTTGAAAAGCATTTATGTCACAAATATGTTTGTGAGCTTTCTCTGTGTGCACTATAAATACAGCTACCTTGGGGGTGGTCCTTGTGACTCCCTAATTCAGCATACGACCTAAATGAAAGTATTTTTGACCAATCTTTCCAGCTGAGATTTTTCTTTCAAAAGACCCTTTATAGAATTGTAGTCATTCTTTCTGACCTTGAAACACTAAGTTGGTCAGATCAGATGCTTCTTTTCTGGGATGAAGCAAAACCATTGGAAAAGTTGAAGAAAACAATGATGGAGTGTCTCAAAACCACACCCTGTTTCCTGGTGGCTAGAGTTGGTGCTGTCCTGTGAAGGCTTAGGTTCGTTTCTCAGCTAAGTAACACAAACAAAACCACAAGCTGTAAGATAAAATTCAAAGCCAAGGGGAAGGCAGAGCAGAAGAGCTGTTAGTGACTCAATGGTGAGGCTACTGACCACTTTAACATGAAGTCATGGAGAGAGCTCCTTTTGCCTCCTATACCCCAAGTTACTAAGAAACAACAGTACATTTCAATGTAATGCCCTATACTAGTTTTACTATTCAGTGGTGACTGGATTTTAAAAAGGATTCGTGGCAATACTTATTGGCAGAGGAACAAACGTAACTGATGCCAGTTGTTCAGTGAACAAGCTGTTCTGCAGAAAGTCTTCTCTGACCACCAGACTGTTAAGACAATTTTCCACTGAGAAAAAGTAATTTTCTTCCCATAACTACGTAAAAACAACACATCTTTTGTGAATATATTCTCTCATGTTAGAGATGACCTTCGTATTTCTTTAGCTTACACCCCAAGTCTTGAACCTGCCCCAGTTTCTCTTTTGATGGAGAGGTCAAAGGTCACACTGGTGTCATGCAGTATAGCGTGGTGTTATATGTAAGTCTGTTGTCAGTGACTTTTTGTTAATCCTTCTAGACTCTCCTCATGGAAATGGGCCTTTCTTGCCTTCCTGGTAATAGTTGCTTCGAGAACAATGTGGTCAGCCATCACAATGGATTCTGGTTAGCTTAGCTTCTTTGACTAGAAATGGGCTGTTTACTCATCTTAGTATTTCTGCAGTGCCTGATCCACTGTTTATCAAAGAGTTAGCGTCTGGCAACTAGTGAAGTGAAAAACAACCCTGAAAGTATGAAACACCTGACGGTGTTGCTATCCATTAGCTTTATCATATAAAAAGGGTGTTTATTTGTTAACCCCTGGCTGTGGCCTGCATTTGTTTTTTTCCATTTGTCTTTTAGATTTTATTTTAAAGCGTGTGTGTATGTGTGTGTGTGTGTGTGTGTGTGTGTATGTGTGTGTCTGTGTATGCACATATGAATGTAGATACCTGCATAGGTCAGAAAAAGGAGCTGGATTTCTTAGAGCTGAAGTTATACCAGTTATGAGCAACCTGCTGTGGATGTTGGGAAGTGAACCTGGGTCCTACAGAACAGCAATATGTACTCTCAGTCACTAGACTCTACCTCTAGTTCCTCCCCACCCCATTTTCTGTGTGTGTGTGTGTGTGTGTGTGTGTGTGTGTGTGTGTGTGGTGTATTTAGGATTGAGACTTGGAGGTTCTTTCTATGTTTTATTACTCAGTTCTTTAGTGCTTGGAATAGTACTAAACAATACCATCCCATCCCCAAGGAGTCTGGCAAATATGTGACAAATTGGAGGTGTAATTTTAGTAATAAGCAGTCGTGAGATGGGAGTTGATAGTCAGAACCTGAACTCGGAGGGAAACTCTACCAGGGTATAATAATATGCTGGGTTATGGGACGGATAGATGTCTGGGCAAGACTGTATACTGGGCAAGACTCAGGATACAGAAGAGCAAAGCCCATTGAAAAATGTTTTATACAAACATGATAGGTTAGACAAAGGCTTGTCATCCAGAGAGAAAGGAATACAACTGGGTTCTCCTGATCCTTTTGTTCTTGTCCTAAATGTCATGTTTTAACACTTTATTGCCTGAATTCACAACAGATTTAAAGTCCTGAATGGTGGAGAATGTGCATGTTGCTTTATTGTGTATATTCAGTATTTAGTACATTGAGATTCTGAATTTAAGTACACTGGGATTCAGGAGCAATGAACAAGTATTTGCTGAATAATAGACAACTGAGTGAGTGACTGGAAAGTGCCTAAAAAGACATCCACTGAGGATGGAGTCCAAGCTAAGTCATGCTGAGTAGGTTCCATCAGGCCACCCATATAACAATTTTGAGTTACAGGCTTATGTCTGAGACTGTACGTCCATAAAGAAAAAGGTCTTGGAGCAGAAGCTGAAATATATATCAGGTATAGCTATAATTGCTAAATTATGTGGGTTTTTTTTTATTATTATTATGGAATGCCTCCAGGCTTTGGTTTTTTCATTTATAACTCAGCCAGAGGCTGCAGCAAGGCTTATTCATATATCTGTGCATTGCTCATCAAGCCCTATTATGTGGAATGCATTGTGCCATGTGACATTAAGATGCTTGGAACCTACTCCTGAGTGGCAGGGCAAGTGACCTAAGACAAATGTGCAAGTGGTTTTTACGGTAGCACTGTATTTTAAATATGGAGCAATGTGATGAAATTCCATAATTCATCACCAGGGCATATACTCTGACAAGCTTGAAAATGTGCCGATATGGCTAACAGTAAGGGCAAAGGTGATTTTAAATACTACACACTAAAGCTTGGTAGGGGTTGCAAATGGTAGGTAGGGGAATGTAGGCCTATGCAGACCAAAAAGGACTAGAAATTAAATGAAGGCTAGAGGGGGAAAGTTCAATGGACTAGAGACTGGAAAGAAACCGGACTACTTGGATGGAAGAGCAGATTCTCATTAATCTCATCAACCTCAGACCCGGGCGGTTGGTGGGGTGAATGATGAGCAGTAGCGGGTAATGCCAGAGAGAGGACTATGGAGCTGCACATTCGTGCTAGCTGTCAAGCCTGGTACTTGTTTTATCATAACCCAGAATTTAGTATGACCTTTGGTTCATGGTGTTTTGTTTTTTTTCCAAATGACTAAATTAGTTACACCTGTTCACTTGTGTGCTCATTAAGGCTGCTGGGGCTGTATATGGAAAAACACTATTGCATAGCTATGTGGTGAATTAACAACAGAAAGAAAAAAAAATGGAAGGATAAGATACCATTTTGTTCTCTCAAAATGATTAGGACATGTTTGGGATGTGCCCAGTTTCAGATGAAAGAAATCCATATATGTGTAATATGTACGGTTAAAAAATCCCGAAGAGCCTTGACTCACTCTTTTGGAAGAAGTGAACATTGTTTTATTTCTAAAACAGTAAGAAAAATAAACTATTATTGTAAAACACTGCTTAGCAAGAAACTCAAGACAAATACTATGTTGTTCAGAATGATAGTTTTTTAATAACTCATGCTAATAATATGTTTGCCAGCTTTAACACTAAGAAGGTATTTAAGGTTTACTGTTCAAATTTATTTCATTAGTCCAGTTCCTAACTGTTCTCATTGCCAAAGACATTCACCTCACAAGACAGTTTGTTTGAGGCAAACTTATTTGTTTTGTACCAAATTTTCCTCAGTTGCTTTGTTCGGCGATGGGCTTCATTAAGTAATCCATCACATTGAAATGGAGCATCTTGCATCATTTAACATTTATTGAAACACTGTGTTGTGTGTGGGCCGTTTATGGTTATGATAGAAGAGCCATGTTTCTGCTTTCAAGTCAAAGGGAAAGATGTAAGACTTGAGTTGTGGCTTCAGGGATGGCCCATTTACAGGATTTTGGACAATGACAGCATTTGTAAGAACGCCCGCTGTTCATGCAGGGTGGGTGGCATTTGGGGCAGAAGCTGGCTTCACTGATAAGGTTGAGAGGCCACCATTTGTTCCCTTCTCTCGTGTTATTGTTTTTTTAAGAATAGAAGTCTAATTCCATCTGTTATCTGGCCTTGAGTGTTCATGATGTGAGGCCAGTCTTTAGGGAGATTGCATTGTTCATCAGCTTTGGGGTGGTGTGTGTGTGTGTGTGTGTGTGTGTGTGTGTGTGTGTGTGTGTGTG